TCTGGCAGGAAAGACTTCCTTGGTCTCGCGTGAAGTATTTTCCCCCACTCTGAACCAGAAGGAGGGATCCTTGACTGTCAGCCCAGCTCAACAGCTCTTAGCTGACAAGGTTTGCAGGAGTAGATCACAGCATGAGGTGGGCTGGGATGACTGCAGCCCAGCAGGAGCATCGTCTCAGAAGGTAAAACCAAGCCACAGCAGGCCTGATGCCAATAATACACTTAGGCCTAAATGTTCCAGTGTTTCATGCCATTCCATCAAAAATCTTGGAGAAATTTATTTTTGGCTGAACCAGGTGTCACAGAAAAGACCGCCAACTGCAGTGTTTCTCTGCTAAGTCAGGAGGAGACTTACAGTGAAGCCTGCACAGTGCAGAGATGGGTACAAAGCAACCAAACAGCAAAGGACTGTCACCAGAGGCTGCAGCCACTCAGTCTCACAAACATGATCTATCACACCTGGCCTGATTTTATTGCTGCCCCTCTTCCCTCTCATCACATACACATTAGCAGGAGGATAGAAGGAAGGGTGTCACTGATGCTTCACAGCCATCTATACACCCAAATGTGCTGTAAGCACCACCTCTGTAGGCAGCACTCTACACTGGTGTCTTAGAAGATGAAAAACAGTTAGGTGTCTGGCTCTGCAAAGTCTCTATCTGCCCCAACTCCATAAGAGCACATTCCCCTACCCCTTCAGATGGTGGCTCCAGCAGATGAGGCTACTGCTTAAGCTCCTGTGTGGCTCACAGTAGAGCTGCATCACCACACAGGCTCACAGGCTCCAGGAAAGAGCATTGGCTCTTGAAAAATAATTCTGGCCACAGAGAATTCCCTTTTCCCTCTAACAAGGCCTCTGTTCTTTACTTGGGAAAGCACACCAAACTCAAGCAGAGGGAAGCAGTGTGGACTGCTGGCTAGAGCACTACCCTGCAGTGTAGCAGCTCTCTCTCCTAGTCTTAGCACTGCAAGAGGCTTGCTGAACTTGGACAAGGCCTCTCTCCTCAGCTGTCCTGTTTGTAAACTGTGAATATTTAGACTGGAAATGGTTTTTAATCTAGGGGCAGAAGCAGCCTACAAAATGGTTAAATGCAACTAAGGTGGAGAAGCATGAGTCAAGCCCTTTGGGACATAAGTCATGTCTGGGTTGTTTCCCCCTTGCCACCCCAGAGACACCTTGCCGCCAACACTACAAGGCTCCTCACCATCACACTTCAAGGTGTGAGCGAGCAATTGCTGCATAGCTGTGAGCCATGAGACCCAACACCAAATTCCATGGTCCAGATTTATCCTTTCATGGCTGTTACATCAATGGTTGTTTTCTACCACATTCATCCCATGGGAGGTCATGCTTGATTGAGGGTCCTTCACAACACCAGCCTGTCTGTGCATGACCCAAGGACACATAGTGACACTGTATCTCCCGGGTTATCAGAGTCCAGCATGCTGGGAAAGCCGCATCTTCTGTCAACCCCCACACACATACCAGCTGCTCCTGCCTGTGACTGACAATGTTTGTCCATTAACATATGCTCAGAAATCTCTAAGAGGCTTCTACATGTCTTTTTAAGATCATCAGGTCTTTCATGCTGAGATCTTAACGCACCCTCACAAGCAGTTCTTGTGATTCTCACAAGTTTTTCAGTCACCCTCACAGAAACCCTATAGCACTGCTGCATACCATTTGATTGAGGAAACTGAGGCATGTCCAAGAAGCCACTTGGAGTTGTAAGGGAGCTGACAGCAAAAAGAGAAGAAGAATTGCTATTCCTTGGTCTAACCAACCATCCCGCACAAGGAAGAGAGCTCAGGGAGGTTGGCCCAATGCCCAAGCACCCTTGCATCCTCTCTTGTCAGTTTACAATTCTGAAAGCATTTTGCAAGCAAATTTCATTTTGTGCTTAATACAAAGACCAGATCATTTTGTTGCAGGTGAAGAATGAAGTGTCTTCTCCCTGAATTATAGGATGCCTTAAGATATTTACAAGTCAATCTGTTTGTTTACAATTTAAAATAAATTGCCCTTTAAATATCTGGCAGCTGATGTGACCCCATCGCTGTGCCGGAAGAAGGTTTACAGTGTAGTTGCTAACCGTTTCCAGAAAGAACAAGGACAAGCTGTTCTTGTGTGTCCTTAGCCACTGGTCATGTTAACAAAAATGCCACCTGTCCTTCAGAAGCTGACACCACGAATAGCAGTAAGGACTAATTACATCGGTAAGGGGAGAGTTCAGGGCATTAACAGCAACACCTGATGCATTTCCCCTCTTTTACATATTTGTGTTTCTTTGTTTCCTGTGCTGATCTCCGATTCCCTCTCCCTTCATGCCAAATGAATTGTGTTTGGCCTCTATTCCCAGGACACTGCCTATGGAAAGCTCCTCTGAGGCACTTCTCTCACCTGTCTGCTGCCAACAAAGTAAGAGGCAGAAATCAGGAATGAACAGCCCCTCAAAGTCATTGCTAATCCTGCGGTCTCCAAAGTATGATGAAGCCTCTTGCCAGACCACTGCGCAAGTCACAGATCTCCGCAGGTGAGTTTCAATGGCTAACATCAACCCAAATTATTCAGAATCCAGGGCAAGATCTCTAAGGATTCAGGACCCACTACTGGAGCTAGATTTTTTGAAGGGACATGCATTCAGGACACCGAGAAATTGAGGAAACATGACCACATCTGTTGGGTCTGTAGAGCAGTGCACTTACGAATGAGGACAATGCTGAGCAACAGGTAGGGAGAAATAAAGCAGCAAATACTGCTCCCTCCAGCCAAACTCTTCTTCCACTGCTGCTGGGCTTTAAACACAGCGACAGGGATGACATCCAGAAGATAACTGAGCCCACTGCGTCCGAGTTACCTGGGACAGACAAAAAGGCTGCTAGACAGGGGGAAAGCCAGCAAGAAAGGGAACAGAAAATGGTCTCCTGATGTGTGTGAGATCTCCCTCCCATCACTACAAAGGAAATGCACACACAGCTAACCCTACCTTCTGAGAAATCAGAAACAAGCCTATTGAAAAAGGGAGTTGAAACTGAAATGCAACTTTCAAGCTCATCTTGTATTTGGTGGGTCTGTCTTTGAAGCACCCACCTAAAAAACCTGATCCCTGCATTTGGTGCCTCAGCTGTCTGGGCCATTCCTTTACTTACTCCAAGGGGATTGCTCAGTGTCTTGTCACCAGTTCAGGCTGCTTCCTCCAGGTGTCTATCCAGGTTACTCCAGCCCCACAAGAAGCAGTGATCTGTACCTTTGGGCTGCAAAAGAACATAGAAAAAGATGGCTGTGACAACAAGCATGTCGGAGAAGACAAAAATACCTCCTCACCAATTGTGCTAGGAGAGTTGGTAACATAAAATCCCCGTGGTCATTTGGCTTTTAAGCCTGTAAAAACTCAGTCATTTGACAACATTGATGGTGTCCCACAGCCAGGCCTAAGGTTCTGCTCTGAAGTGAGATCCGCAAGTTAGCACCAAAGAGGTTCTTCCGCTCAGCAACGCTGGAGTAGGAGGAAGGAATTAGAAGTCCCTTGTGCATCTAATACCCAGGATTATTCTCATGGAATATTTCCTTGGATCAGTCCAGCTGACGTAGGCCACGGTCCTGTAACAGACTCCAGCTGAGTGTGGGGGGAATACAGTCGCAACAGGGTCAGGATTTTACACGTTACAGAAATGTGGTGAGAAAAGACTTTTACATCAGTAATTCCCATACCTGGGTCCATGGAGCAGTGTGGGACATTTTAAAGGCTGGCAGCCTCCACAGTCTATACATCCTACAAACACTAAACTAAGCAGTCCCAATCAATTTACTCCTAAGAAGTTAAAACTATCTATGCCAGACAGACATTCCCCTTTGATTTACACATATTTCTGGCCGAATATATCTCATCTTAGTCTTCTCCTTTTTATTTTCATCAAAGAAGCCAACTCTGCCAGGACTGGAAACACCCCTCCCACGACGGGCATTCGTTGCAGACAGGTTCCTGCCACCCAGGTGGGATGGGGCTGCAGGGCTGCATGGAGCAGCCCCATCACTACACAGAGACATGGCCCAAAAACGCCTCCCCCTGTCTGGGCCCCTCCCAGGCAAGGCACCAGCAGCAAGGTTCCAAGACATTAAACCAGAGGTTTGGGTCTCTTTTTTTCCCCTTCCATCAATGGATGCTTTTTACCTGAAAGAGAATTAGGTCCTAACTTTATCCAGCACCACAGACATAAAGCCCAGATAAATCAGCAATATGCCGGAGTAAGCAGAGAAGCAATTCGACCCACCCAGCTGCAGAGCGGAGCTTCCCGGGGAGCTGCCACAGGAGCAAGGCCAAGGCCAAGGTTATTTGCACACCTGAAGTTAAGGGTGCAGCCACAGAAAATGGGGCAAAACCAAGATACTTTTAGAGCCAGATTTCACAAATATTCTCATTGGCCACACACAGACTTCATGGCCCTGGAAAGGCACAACATTCTTCTTGGCACGCTGATGGAGCAAAAATGAGTCATTGGTTTCTAATACAAGAAATTGACGGCAGACCCTCAGCCTTTGAGCCTAGTGGATCGTGAATATCATTTATAACCATACATCAGCCAAAAAACACAACCAAGGGCACCGCTGTGGCTCGGCTTTTCCCCTTTGATGGACACAGCAATGTGAACGGTGTAGTGAACGGTGTGAGGCCAGCTGAAGGGAGAACGAGGCTCTCCCGCGGCTCAGCCCCAGGACGGGGCGGCCTGGCCTGCCCAACGAGGGGGGAGCCAGACGGGAGCTGCCCCAGGCCAGGTCCGCCTAACACCGCCCGGGCCCTCCCGGGGCCGATCCCCGCCGGCTGACGAGCGCCAGCGACCCCGTCCCCTCAGCTCTGAGGGGCGGGAAGGGGGTGCGGACCGGCTCCTCAGAACCCGGCCGGGCGACTTGCCTTCCGACTGGCCGCGGATACTGCCTGTCATGACGTCACCCTCCGCAACCAATGGGCGCGCAGGGACCGGGGCGGGGGCGGGGCTTGCAGGGGCCGGGTCCGTGGGTGGTGTTTGTCGCGCACCGGCGTCGAGGGGCAGGTAGGGCCGGTGGGGGCCGCGCTCCGGGCGGCCTGAGGGGAGTCCGGGCCCGGCCGGACCCGTTCCCGTCCCTGCTCCTCTTCCCGCCCCCCGGGGGCCGGGCCGGGCGGCGCCTCGCCTCGCCGAGGCGGGGGTGTGGGGGAGCCCGGTGGTCGGTTGCTCTCCGGTGGCGGCCTGGATTACCGGAGGCATCCCGGGGCCCTGGAGCGGGGTGGAGCGGGGTCGTGCGATTCCCTGAAGGGCTGAGCACCCGCGGCCCTTCGGCGGGAGTTGAGGGGTCGCCGCCGGGGAAGCCCCGCTCCTTGCGAAGGAGCCTGCTCCTTGCGTGGGACCGGGGGCCGGAGTGGGTCGGTTCGGTGTCGGGGGTGGTTAGAGCACGGATCCCGGGGTGGGTCAGTGGTGGGCAACGTGTCGGAGCCGTCGTAGATTTAGTCTTAGAAGGGTGCCAGGTGATGTGAAAGGTGAAGAGTTTATTGGGGTTGCTCCCAAGGAGAAGGGGTGCAGGGCAGATCCGTGCAGTTGTGCTGTGGGCCTCCTTTTGGGGGGGGGGGGGTCATGGCTGGGGCCTGCCAGGCTCCTCGGTCACGACCTCTGAGACCTTAACCTCCCTCTCCTCCACTGTCATTCACAACGCTGTTGGGTTTTGGTCCAGATACAGATGCTTTTAGACAGATAGCTGCTGTAAACTTGGCTGATTGTCTGGAAAACAACAGCTTTAAGGCATGTGTGCAAGTGCCCCTTCGAAAGTACACTGTCAGACTTGGAAAGAATTAGGAGTAATTGCCCTTTGCATGGCCGCTGGTGTTTTACAGTTCATGATGGGTGGACTCTGTCTAGGTGTCATTCTGAGTTTTTATTTTGTTGCTGGCAAACATGGTATAATAGATCACGTGTTTTCCCCTGCTTTTATTAAAAATGACAGTTATGAGTTGTTTGGATGATCTGAATCTAGTTGAGCAGGCTAAAACTAAATTCCAGGTATGCACTCCATTGTTGAGTTGAAAATTCAAACAAGTAGTAGTCCAAAAACACCTACAATGGAGAATGTGCACTGTGCGGCTCAGATAAGTCATATGTTAACCACCATTTCTGATGAAGAGCTAAAACCCTGACGTGCAAGGGTGTCTCCAAAGAAAGAACTATTGTTTGAGGAGGTTTCTGCTAACTGGGGTGCAAAGGATTAAGAAATCCTGCAATAAGCTGATACGACTGGAATGCATTTTGATGGTTTTTGGCAGGTCAGCTTGTTAGAAGTGGCTGGTGTTTTGTTTAGATAAAGAGGAGAGGAACTTGGTGTTTGTAATCCATAACATTAATTTTTAGAGTGTTGACATGAGATAAAGCAAATGGTGATAGAATATTCCAGTGATGTAAATCCTAATGGAATTATGTTAGGTAATGCAGCATAAGTATCTGGAGTTAGCTGTGGGATTATGTGTGCTGTATGGAGCTCATTAATGAAGGTGTAAATTACCTTCCCTGAATAAAGCTGTGTTGAAGTGGCTTTTCAGAGCTCTCCCCAAGGTGGCACCACGAGGCCTGCTGTGCCTTTTGTCTCCCAGTGAGCTGCCGTTGCGAATGTGAATGCTAGCCTTGTTCAGACTAGCTTTGCTTTTTGTGGCAAAGAATATTAGCTCATGTTCTTTTGGATTTGTGCAAACACACGTCTCTAGAACAACTTTATCTATGCATATGTAGCAAAAGGCATATAATGAATTCACCAAGCTAGCAACTTGAAATAATTAAAAAAAAATAGGGGTTTACTGAACAGGTATCTTGGGGTAAAGGAGGTTTAGGAATCAGTAAATATTCCACCCCCTTCCTGTAGTTCATGGCTTGTGAGAGAGGAAAATATGCTGACCCCTTCAAAAGCAAAACTTTGACTATCAGAAGATAAATGATTTAAAATTTATTATACAGTACAGCAACGAGGCCCAGTGTACTTCTTTAAGTCGCTCTTGGTGCGGTGTTTTCCTCATTCTGTATCTTTTACTGAGCAAAACTGTCAGTAGCAGAATTCCTGTTGCAGAGCTCTGCAATAGTAAGAGAGTAACAGGAGGTTACATGGAGTTGCAGAAGTCAAATTGTAAGGAAGTCAGCAATATTTTTTTGCAGGGCTGTGGTAGTTTGGACGTGTGGCTCTGGATGGTGGAAGCTTTTTTGATAGGAGTGTTTCTTGGGATCTGTGTAAAGTGTTTCCAGGAGTTTTTGACTGGCATCAGCCTTGATTTGGCAATAAATTTCTACTTCTTGGGCAAAATAGAGGCAAGTGGGCCAAAAAAGAAAGCTCAAACTAACTCGTTCTGGCTGCATTCAGCTGAGATCCTCTCTCCTGGATGTGAATTTTTGTTTCCTCAGGCTTCCATGATGTTTACCCAGTGCACCTGGAAGTGTGCAACCTCTGTGCTCCTGATTGTGCTGCTGTGCTGCATCCTTTCTCCTCCAGCACAAGCCAGCAAGGTGAGTGAACAGCTTCAGACACAAGCACTGAACCATGTGTGTCGTACAACAGAAACAAAAATGGCAGAGAAGCAACTGTTTTGCTGTGGAAGTTTGCAGAGATAAGGAGTGCTATAGCAGATGTGCATTTATCATTTGTAGAGCTGTGAATGTACGTGACAGTGGCCTCTGCCCTGCCTTCTACTGTGTTTTGAAGTTTCCATTTTAAAATTTATTTGAAAAGTACCTGGTGTCTGGAGCAGAGGGGCTCAAGACATTTTAAAACTGTGAAGTTATTGATGTGAAAGCAGCAGCACAGGAGGAGGAGACATGGTGTGAAGTCCTCTCTCTCACAGAGAATGTTTTGCCTTTTCTCACACCCCTGGCTGGTAAGGGCAGCAGAACTGTGCACACATGTTCACTCACTAATGCCGTCTGCTCTTGCTTCTGCAGAGCTCGGAGGACATCCGCTGCAAGTGCATCTGTCCCCCGTACCGGAACATCAGTGGGCACATTTACAACAAGAATGTGTCACAGAAGGACTGGTGAGTTGTGGGTTGAATCCTGAGGGATCAGTCCATGAAAGCCAATGCTCTGGAGTTTCCAGCTGGTGCTAAGGAAATAATTCCCTGCCTTTGCATTTGCAGAGGAAGCTGTTTTGGTACATGATGTTTAACCCAGGCGAGGGGCATTTTTTGAACAGAGATTGAGGAATCTGGGAGGCATGATTTCTTAAGCCACAGCTCTCAGCAGATGTAGGGTGTACCCTCCAGTCCCCTTCACCTGGACTGGATCCCTGCAGAAGGCACTTGGACAGTCTGTCTCAGGAACTTTGGGCTAGCTGAGCTGCGAGGGGAACTCTTAAAATCCCATCAGCGTTATCAGCCTGACAGGAAAGCTGGGACACCAAAAAAGTCACCCCAGCATCCTTCCACAGAACATTGGTTTCACCTTGTCCTGTTGCTGATTTAGGTTTCTTTGTGTTGCAGCAACTGCCTGCATGTTGTGGAGCCAATGCCGGTGCCAGGGAATGATGTGGAGGCCTACTGCCTGCTGTGTGAGTGCAAGTATGAGGAGCGCAGCACCACCACCATCAAGGTAATTGCGGGTCTGCTCCCTGTGGCTGGCTCCTTCTCCTTGCCATGCCACACCATCCCAGGCACAGCTAGACTGGTGGGTTCCTGGAGAAGAGCCCAGAAAGGGAAAATAAAACTGTCACAGCTAGTACATGGTGGTAGTGCCAGGGGTACCATGTCTAAGTCAGGAGGGCTCCTGGCAGTGAGGAGCAGGCTGTACAGGAGCCCAGTCTTCTTGCTGAGGATGTGTGAGAGTGCCAGGCATCCCTGACTGGGGACCCATCTTGTTGGTCTCCTTTCACATGCAGCATTTGTCCTAAATTGGCACAGTGTGGAGAAGATCAGCACATTTTATACAGTGATGACACTTACATGTTATCAGCCTTCCTGCAAGTGCAAGAGACTTTCTAGTGAGCAAAATTAGAATGAGAGAAGAGGTCAAACATCAGAGGCAGCTGTGAAGGGAGCTTCCTGGCCTCTGTGGTGCTTCTTATCTACAATACTGATCCTTTTCCACTGTGCTGTCCTTAACTGCAGGTGATCATCATCATTTACTTGTCCGTGGTGGGGGCACTGCTGCTTTACATGGCTTTCCTTGTGCTGGTGGACCCCCTGATCCGGAAGCCAGATGCTTATACCCAGCCCCTGCACAATGAGGAGGAGAATGAGGTGAGGCTGTGCTGCTGGTGCATGCAGGGTGCACGTGGGTAGCTGCAGTCATGGTGGAGACAGGGTGGTAGGGTGACAAGAGAATTGCTGACAGGGAAATAGAGTGACCTCATGCTTGTCCCCTCTGATCCAGTGTGAGACCAGCGCTGTTGCTTTTTGGGCACTTGCCACAGGTAAACATGTGTACTCAAATCTGTGCAGATCATGCTGAAGCACAAGGAAGTATTCAAAGTACAAGTTGTGTGTTATGAGCCCAAGAGAAGACCTGTCCTCTGGGGCAGAGGGTGGCTTTTTACCAAGTGGCCTGAATTTGGTATGTCTGTTTAGATGAAACCAAAAGTTAAATGGTTCCTGTTTGTGCAGTGTCCTAGGTGTAGTTACTTGGTGGTGAGCTTCCAGGGAAGGATGGGTTTAATTATTTGCTGAAACATGGGGCAGGCCTCTCTTCTAGATGCTTAAAAGAGTGGCCTCTAAGGTGCTGCTGTTTGACCCTGTTCTGGGGCTAGGCCCTGTTGTGTCCAGGCTCTTGTTCCTTGTGCTTCTCCCCAGAGCAGAATTTCACTCGGATCCCATCTTTTTGGGGGACATTGGCATACGACATCTTGGGCAAGAAGGTTAGGACCCAGCAACAGAGAAGGAGTGTCTTTCTCCCTCCGTCCGTCCGTCCCCCCCCCCCTCTCATTTTGGGGGAGGACAAATTTCCTGCTGCATGAAATTAATGCAATTTCAGCATCCAGAATTCTTCCCCTTGGGGGAGCGGCAGTGCTTTAGGCTGAATGACCGGGCCTGATTCCAAGGCGGATTTCGGAACAAGAGTGCCCTGACTTGTAAACCTTTTCTTCTTCCCCTGAGGCTTCCCTTCTGTTACAGGGAAATACAGGAGACTGAGATGGGGCTGGTCTCTCAGAGAAGGAAGTGTTAGAGGCAGAGCTGGTGGCTGGTGTGGAGGAGTGGAGTGGCTACACGCACAGTGATTAGCTCTCGTGCTTGATTGCATCTGTAGCTCATGCTCTGTTTGCAGGATGCAAGGGCTGCCCAAGACTTGCTGCCTGTTAGTGCAGCGTGTGGCTCTGGGACACAGCTTTCCCTGTGGTGCTCTCAGTTCAGACATGCGCAGTTCAGCAGGGCACAGTGCTAGACAGAGCTCTTTCCTGGAGCTGAGTTCCTTTCCTTGGTGGAGCCCCAGGGCTGTGCTCAAGCATTGCCCCAGCTGCCACTCCAGGGCACTGGCTGCTAGGAGGAGACTCATGAGGAGGCCTTCCCTAGCAATTGGTGACTCTGGATGCTAGTGGTTAGCTCAGTCACACTTTGAGAAGGGAAGCTGCAATGTCTGAAGATGCTCTCCTTTCCTAGTCTCTGAGAAAACCACTGGATCAGACTGTCCTGTTTATACTTTGTTGTAAGTATAAACTGTTTCGCCCAATTCTTTCATATGCTGATGTAAGCGAGGAGTAGCTGCTCTGATGTGCAGTCTGTCCATTACCTCCATCTGCTGAAAAAAGGAGGTCCTGCAGGAGGAGATGAATTGTATCCTAAAAGTATGCTTTTGCTCCACTGCTCCACAGCAATATTTCAGATTTAGATCTAGGTACACACTGTAAATGGCTGATATTAAGTGAGGCTTATCTTACTCCAGTGTGCTGGACTGCAAACTCCTTGGGATAGACCTTCTCATTGCCTTGGTGTTTGTGTGCCATGATGGATCCCCATCCAAGGGGCCTTCTGACATTACTGCAGTGTAAATGTGGTTGGTTGGAGCAGTCTGAACAGTAGGCCTGGACAAAAGTCTTGCAGCACTATCCAAGAAACAGATGAGCAGCTACTGTGTAAGCTAGTGTGCTGAGGACAATGGAAATTGTTGGCCCAGTTTCAGCAGGGTGATGCAGTTTGCTTTAGCAGTGTGGCTCCTTGCAGGCCTCCTAGCAGTGGATTTCCAGCAGGGGTTTAGACTTAGTGTAGTTCCTCTCCAGGAGCAAGCTTTCCAGCTGGACTTGGGGGGCTGGTGTTGAGGACCTCTGAAAGTGAGTTTCTTCATCAGGACAACTCAAGCCTTGAATTGCTCTTTCAGTTGAAATTTCTCCCAGAGTCGAGCTGCCACCTTCTGTGTTTGGGGTGGGCATGCCTTGATCTCTTTCACCGTTTCTTTCCATTGCAGGATGCTCGCTCCTTGGCCCCAGCCCCCACCCCATCTGGTGCTAGAGCCAACACAGTGCTGGAGAGGGTGGAGGGGGCCCAGCAGCGCTGGAAGCGCCAGGTGCAGGAGCAGAGGAAGACCGTTTTCGACCGCCACAAGATGCTGAGCTAGATCTTTGCTGAGCTATGCGGCACCACTTCCCAAGAGACAAGGTAGCTCCGCTGGTCGAGACGGACAGCAAGTCATCCTTCAGGACATCCGTGGTGTTTGACTAAAAGCTCTAACCCTCTCTGATTTACCGTCTTCATAGAGAGAAGCAGACCAAAACGCTTGCCTCTGGTTTTGTCCCCTTGCCCTTTACCTCTTAGCCCAGAGGCTCCTTAACCCTTGCCCAGCTGAGATCTGTGCTGATCGTTAGCCCCGCGGCTGCATGTAAACGGTCGGTCATATGCAGTGCTGCTGCCCAGGTTCATGGGCTGACTCGAGTGGGGCTGCAGCTCCAGCACGCTGTGCTCGGCTGGACCCTGCGGGCACCACTTGCTGGGACTGAAGTCTCTGTCAGCCCACCCCTGCATCAGAGACAGGGGTCTCAGTACAGAGTGTTGGAAGCTGGCTGAGTCTTTCTGAGATGAAAATAGTGGGATAATTTTTATGTGGGATAAATTATGTGCCACTCCTCCAGGATGAAGAAGCCTTCTCCTCCTCCAGTTCGCACTGATGTTAAGTGGGCGTTGTGGTGCTGAAACAAGTGTATTGCACTGGAAGGAAGAGGAGGGGGTTCCCTGCCAGTGGTCAGCTGCTACTTGCACTTACCCTGGTGTAAACAGAGTGAATTTCCACTCTCTTCAGTGGAATCTGTCCAGATTTACACCAGGATAACTGAGATTGCAGCTTGTTTCTGCATAGGTGAATATCACAAAACTGATCAGTACATTCACAAGTAAAAGAACAATAACAGGTAAAAGGTTGATTTAACTTTATATCTTTTCCTGCTTTAGCAGTGGATGAACATACTGGGGAGAAAGCTTTCTGTTTGTACCCATGCTGGTAAGCCTTGATGCTCTCACAGTGTGCTCAGGAGCATTTGTGTCCCAGAGAACTGGGGCAAAGGCTCTACTGGAGCACTGTAAACACTTGTCTGGGACTGGGGGCCCTGGAAAGGGGACACTTGTGCTACTCAAAACACTCTGAGAGCTCTGACTGTGCTTGGGCTGTGTGGAGGAAACTGAGGTGATTCTGCAGTGTGTATATTTATAACGTCAGGAAAGTGCTGGAGTTTATCATGTAGCATCTCTCTGTATTAAATGCAGACAAAGATCTATTATATGGCTGGCTTTTTTTCAGGGGAAAGTCCCATCATGCCAGGTCTGGGGCTCCCAGCACTGAGTAGCTGCTCTCCAGGCTGCCTTCCAGTGCCCAACAGGCAAGTTGATGCAAGACCTCAAGACCGAGCTGTGGTTACTGCACTCAGATGTTTTGGCAGGTGGGTCCCCTGGCACTGTTTTGCACCTGTCTGTGCTCAGAGAGTGACTGTCTTGCTCCAGGAGAGCTGGGCCTAAAACACTGGCAAACCAGAGCAGTCCTGCTTGGCACAAGTTAGCGACAAACTGCTCCGAGCTCTCGTGAGAAGGCCGAGCAGATTGGAATTCCTCGTTTGTTGAAAGCTGAGGAATTGTTGCTAAAAGCCTAATTGGGAGAGGTGCTGGTCACCGCTTTGCATGCTAGTGCCAACAGCTTTTGATCAAGCTGCCCAGCAGGATCCAGCCCTCCAAGCTGATCCTGCCAGACAAATCCAAACAGAAGCTTTTTGGGGGCTTTGTGCCTGCAGCCTGCGTGTACCCCAGTTACCCTTCAGCACCTTGCTGGGCTAAAAAGTACCCAGAGCTTCACATTATACTGAGGTCACATTTTCCTTTACCCATCCTTGTTCCATGGTGCTCAGTTGTTGGACCTTTCTCCTCCTTTTAGAAACCCCATCTTCCCTGTCCTTCCCTCTGGGTGTGAATCCCTCATGGACACAGGGTGTGGTCCCTGGGAACTGCAGCCCCGCCCCCCTCCCCCAAGAGGGTGAAAAACCTGTTTGAAGGGTCTCAGCACAAGCAGCAGCTGGATGAGAGCTGCCGTGGCTGTCGTGCAGGGACTGAGCTGGTGTGGTGGGTCCATCTTGTGGCCGGTGCCCCTCTGATCAGCACTGAGACATCAGTGATCACCAGGGTTCCTGCTCCCAGCGACCAGACCCTGATCCTAGAGGGTGAGGGGTTTGTGACCCTTCCCAGGAACAGCTTCAAAAATGGGATAGGAGAGGAAAAAAAATGCAGGTTAGAAATGAGGAGTCAGTGGGTTAGAAAACTCAGATGTGGAAGGGATGGTGTGGAGAGGTTGCAAAAAATGCCACTGCCTGATTAATTATTTGGTTTGTTAATTAGCTGATTAGCTTTGTCCTGTACACCATCCTCCGTGGGAGGAAATGTTTTCTACTGCCCAGTCTCTGCTCTTCCCATACCCCCTGCATTGCTCACTGGGGCATCCCCCAAGCAGGTGCAGTCTGGTGGGCCCTGCTCCTGGCCCCATCCATGTCCCGCAGCAGCAGGAGTCAATAATTTAATTCCTTCCAAAAAAAGGGAGTGAGAAAAATAAAGGACCTCTTAGTACAAAATCCTGTCGCTTTGGCAACCTGCTGCAGCTGTGGTCAGGTGCCTGCCGTGGTCCATATGTCGATGCTCTGAATGATGAGCCACTCACTCTGGTCCTGGGTTACCCGGATCCTCACGCACTCCACAGGGCCGGGCATGCCCCTCTCCAGTCCCCGCTGCTCAAAGATCCCCTTCTCAAAGGTGCCCACAGTGGTGTAGGCAGAGCAGTCCCGGCCATCAGCCTGCTGTCGCCAGCCCAGCTCCAGAACCCCAGCGCGCAGGAAATCACTCTGGCGCTCATCAGAGCCTGTGCGCACCCGGACACGGGTGACGTGGGCCGGCTGGTGGAAGATGATGGAGAAGACACTGCCGGCTGCTGGGTCTTTACCCCAAAAATACCCTTCTGCTGTCCCGTAAGCCTTGAGGGGCTCGTAGTTCTCAAAGACGGACATGCTGGTGAACAAGGCCGCTGGCGGGTTGTCTGGAAGGTCCAAGGCATCAGCCTGAAACTCGTTGTCCTCCAGCCGGTTGATGGTGCCCTGGAAGGAGGAGTAGAGGCCCATGTGCTGGAAGAGGGAGGGCTTGAAGCGGATGACATCCTTCTGGGTGAGCAGGAGGCGGAAATGGACCAGCAGCCAGTCGCAGGGCATCTCCTGGTAGAAGAGGAGGAGGAAGCGAGCCAGGCGAGGAAGGTCACTGGAGTGGTAGAGCTTACCGATGTAGCCCAGCTTGGAGAACTCAAGGGTGGCCCAGTTGGAGCCTTCCTGGGAAGCCAGTGCCTTGCGGATGGCCGTCAAGAAGGACTTGGCGCACCACACATCATCCTCAATCATCAAGTAGTAGGAGGAGAGGTTGGCGGCAAAGGCAAGGAGGAAGGCATAGTCCACGTTCTGCTTGGACCTGAACCTCACCCGCTCCTCTGGGTCATTATAGTTTCTCTTGAGGCCCTCCAGGGTGGGGTAAAACTCCTGGGGAGTGTGGATAAGCAGGAGCTGGCCCAGGAGGATGTGGTGAGCAAACTTGCGGGCGATGTTGGCAGCCACGTGCACATTCCATCTAGGGTCTGCATCGGCCAGGTGCACCACCACCACCATCTCCTGCAGCTCCTCCTCTGTCGACTGCTTGAAGAGGGACTGGAGTGTGGCTGGGAGGTAGTAGCCGCGCGGCCGCTGCACCGATGCCAATCCCACCGCCAAGAATTCTGCAAGGCAAAGGAAAGGCATTAGCAGGCTGAGGGGTGACCTGGGATGCACCACAGTGACATTTTTCCCTGCAAACTACAAGGAGGGGGCTCCAAAAAGCTCTCTGCATGACCAACCAGCACGGTTAATGCTATTTATGGCCCCATGTCCAAGGCCAGCAGGTCCTTTCTGAAGGTGAAGCCCCCAGCATCTCAGGAGGTGCCCAAAATTGGCCCAAATGGCAGGGAGAGGACAGGATAAGTAGTCAGGGACTCCTCTGAAGAATAATATTTGGGAAAAAGACCTTAAAAAAGTGCCAAACCTGGGGAAGGAACAGTGCAGAGACAGTCTATGGGGCAGGGATGGTTTTGTGGCATGGCTACACATCCTGGAACCATGCCCCTACCCTACTCCAAACCTTGCAGAGATGCAACCACACTGGGATGAGGCATCCTTCTGCCTTGCCCACAGCCCAGCTGTGGCTGCAGTTGTTCAGCTTTGCTGCAGCTTCTCTTGCTGCTGGTCTGTGCAGCACTGTGCAAGTACTGGACCTCTGGTTTCAGCATGGGCTTGTGTGGGGCTGCCCTAAGCTCCCTCTTTGCATGTAAATTGCTTTTCGTGCACCTGTCCAAGAGCTTGACCCACATGTCCCACGCTATATGGTTGTGCTGGTGGTCTAGCCCCACCATCTCCACCTTCCTGACTGGAGAGCAGGAAACAACCCCAGGGAGATGGGATCTCAGCCACCCTCCCCACAGAGATCTGGGAAACCCAGAATGCCTTCTGTCACCCCAATACCAAGGTGCAGAAGCATGGACCATGCTTGGAGCACGCAGACCTTCCTCTATCCCTCCATCTTCCCAGGCGGAGCAGCAAAGGGTGGTTAGGGGGAGGCCACCAGGTATCAGCAGGTCCCTCATCCCAAAAAGGTTGGAAGCAGACCCTGCCCCACCCCGGCAGCAGCAGTGATGGGGCAGGTCCATGCTGTGACATGCAACTGCGATGGGAGAGATGTGCAAACCCGGAGTCCTGCTCAGTCGGGGGTCCCAAAGCCACTCACTTTTGTGGGGTGACAGGGAGCCAGCCAGGAGATGGTAGGAGACATTGTGCGGTGCAGACAGGTCATCTGTGTCCCTGAGGATGTGCTGGGCTCCTTCCGGCTGCAGCATCTGGAGAACCGTGGCTGGGGCCAAGCCCCCAAGTTCCACCTGGATGGGAGCCGCAGGCAGCCAGGTCAGACCCCAGAGCACAACGCACACAAGTGAGCAAGGGGTAATGACAACAGGGGGACCCAGAAATGAGAGGGAGCCCCTGTCCTGCCCTCCCAGCTCCTGGATCGGGGGGGAGGCCCATGTGCACAGGGCAACCCCAGGGAGAGAATACAGAGCTGGGGTTTGGAGGTGATACAGTGCAGGGAAGGGAGCAGAGCTGGGGTGGGGGTCTGTGTGGGGCAGGTGGGGACGGAGGATGGTCCAGTGGCCCCTCCAGTGGGACATCAGTGGTGGGGGACTCACCTCCAGGGGATCCTGTTCCTGCCAGCTGCCCCCCTGGAGGAGGAGGAGGAGGAGGAAAAGGAAGAAGGCTGCAAGTGCAGCTGTGACGGAGCGCTTCAGGGACCATCGCATAGCACCAGGCCGGCACGCTGAGGCCTGTGGGAGGAAGGGGCATGTCAGGTCAGGGCACAGCCCGGGGAAAACCACCATCCCCTGGACAGGACAGTGGGGCGGCACCTGGATGCACCCCCAGGGCTGACCGCTCTGCCCAGGGCACCCAGGGACGTGCACCCAGGGGCAGCCATGGGCATCAAGAGGCACCCACGCACTGTTCTCTTTGGGCAGGCAGGGGCAGGACACCCCATCCCAGCCAGGAAGAAACATCGGCCAGGTACAAAATCCACCCCACCAGCTCTGCCAACATGCCTGCTGCCCTGCAACGCTCCGCACAGCAGCCCCGGAACTGGAGGCAGAAGCAATGCAGGTGACACACACCTCAGGGAAGGCTTTCAGGTCAGGGTGTTCCTGACACCCCAGGAGCAGTCACCAAGACCTCGGGACTTGGCACCAAACCCTGGGAAATGCTCAGGTCTCAAAGGAGCCTGGGCTGCTCTTCCAGCATCACAAGGCCAAAGCAGCTCATCCAGCCTCTCCTGCCTGCCCTGCTCCCCGTCTGCCTCCTGGCAGCCACCGCCGCAGCTGTGCTCACCCTGTCGCAGCCACGTCCTTTGCTTAGTAGGACAAGAAAGCCATCCCCATGGCGGGGGGTGTGTCGCCTTCAAGGAGTTTGTACTGCCCTTGAGATATTTTATCTTGTGGCAGAGGCATGGTAGGAGGCTAAAAGGCTCCTGTGTTCACCTGGGCTTTTTCCATTATAAATATGACCATGTCTGCCTTGGAAAAGAAGAAACTGGAGACCGAGCAAGTGCCCAGTCCGGTAGGGCAGACACAGTCAGCCCCATCCAAACTGCTTGTCGGCTTGGTCAAAGTGTCTTTGAATGCAAACATGTGGAGGAAAAGCCCTCCTAAGCTGTATAATAAAATGCTGAGAAAGCTGCCAGCCCTCCTGAATGAAGGTTGGGCTTTACCCAGGACTTCTCCTTAAACATCTCACTGCATCAACTGCCACAGATGCAGCGGACACTCCCAGCCCACCCACAGTCCCCAAACAGCAGAGCCGGTGCAGCACCTCTGTTGCCGCTGCCCTGGAGCGTGTGCTGGGCTTATTTTAAGAAGAAAACCCTGGTTTTCCTGCTCAAAAGTCCTTTGGGGGGGTTGTTAGCATCTCAACAGGGCAGTGCAGAGCAGGTCCCCCCAGTGCAGCAGCCAGTGCTGTCCTTGCCGCGCTGACCTCACCCAGGAATGTTGCTCGTTACTCAGAGATAAGCAATTAAAACAGAGCTAGCTGCTCTCTCCCAGGGAGGGTTGGGCTGAGCCATGGCCTTAGTGAGACCCATCTCAGTCAAGGAGCTTGAACCTAGCAGTGGCTGAGCTCTGGTTATTACTGGTTTTTCAAAGCACTCAGGGGGGACAACAAGCTCCTGGAGCTGATTAAAATCTCTGTCCAGGTCACAGCAGAAAGTGGGGAGAATTGGGGGTGCTCACTGCCATGGGCCAGGCCTATGGCCAGCTCTTCCCAAAGCCCCCCAGCCTCTCCTTCCCCTGCAGTGATGGGGGCACAGGCAGCTCGCTGGCTTAGCAGGGAGCAGCTTTAGGGACCCATCCTGAGCCACAGGGACATCACACCCTGAAGGTGAATTTCTGAGCCCAGACCTCCACGATCTGTGGTGCAGCACCGAGACCATGGCTTGAGCTGGGAACAGCAAGGCTTGGCAGCCAGCCACATGCTGGGCTGGGCGTATTTATACTCTGGGTGGCCAATGGTTTTTCTGGCTGCCAGGAGGGTGTCTGGCTGCCAGCGGCCCATCCTGGATGGAAAACAAGGTGCTGCTCCACACCCCCAGCTCCCACGGGCAGTGGTTTCATCCATGGAGCAGGGAGCCGGTGGGGAACAGGGGGTTGCACACACCTCACCCCTCCAGCATCGCTCTGCATTGCAGGCTTAACAGAACAGATGGTAACAAATGCTGCCCCATAATTAACCCCCGAATTGGGCTTTTGATTTTTGCCTCCATGGAGAAACAAAGCAGCCCAACCAGATGGGCACAACCAGGGCCCACACCACTGGGATGCAGCATCCTCTCAGCTCCTGCTCGGGGTGCCTCCACGGAGCATCCCTTTCCCCACTCCTGCCCCAGCACCTCATGCACCTTCCCCACAGCTCAGCACCCCAGTGGAGATGTCCCCAAAAGCCACCCCCCCATGGGGACATTGGGCTGGTAACCAGAAGGAGCTGGCTGCCGAGAGCCGCTCGCCCGAAGCCAGATAAACTCCTCTGCTTTGTTAGGAGACTCCTGGCCAAATGGGCTGCGTGACGCAGCAGCCATGAGTCAGTCCAGCAGCAGAGGGGAAGGAGAACAAGTAAATACACGGCCTCGGTCCCACGAGGCTGCGAGGAAGGGCCGGATGCTCCCCGCACGCAGGCAGCTCCAGCTGCTTCCTCCAGCACTGGGGAGAGTGGGGCTGTTTGCACAGGAGAACAACCAGGGCTCACCATCCCACTGCCAGAAGCGCCTTTCCACACTGGGGGAAACCGAGGCACAGAAAAAAGGCTGTGCATCACCCGGCGGGTTAAGCACCAGGTCTCCTGCGTCAAGGGCCAGTGTCCCTCACCCCATCCTGGTGGGGGTCCCGAGGATGGAGAGGGGCAGGGTGTAACCCAGTGCCAGAAATCGCTGCTTGCTCGAGCGGAGGACATCGCAAATTGTGGCAGCAGAAGCGCAATGTCCCCAATGGGCAAACAGCAGCCATTTGGGGCTGCGTGCGACGGGGCACTCCTGGACCCCCTGGGAGCCAGCCCGGGGTCTGGCCCCACACTCTGGGGGTGTGTCTGCTCCAAGGGCTGTCCCGCAGGGAGGAAGGGGGGGAAAAGCTGCATTTCAGTAGCGCAGGACTCTGGGAGCCAAAGCTTTAGGTCAACCCAGGTCTCCCACAGCCCCACAGAACAGGGGGCTCTCTGCAGGCAGCTTGGTCAGGGGACACTGGGGTCTGATCTGGTCCCTACAGCTGACAGCATGGGGACCACCAGACCACCACCCTGCCCTCACCCCCCCCCAGGTGACCCTGGCCCAGGGCACCCCTTTCCCATGCAGACCCATCCCATGACACCAGTGAGATGGCTCATGCCCAGCACCACTCTGGATGCACCCACCGAGGCAGCAGAGACTTACGGGGTGCACAGAGCCCGGCGTGTGGGTGCACAGCAGCAGCCAGGCAGCTTCGCTGTCTTGCCAGGGTGCTCAGCCGGGCAGCTTCCCCAGGGCCGGCCAGACTCTGGTTTCTCTCTCGGCAAAGCCCCACCCCGAGTCCTTGCCTGCCTCCTGCAGAGGAGGAGCGTCTGCTGGCATCCTCTGCCCCATGCTGGTGAGTGCTCAGTGAACCAGCGGGGCTGGTGGGGCCCCAGGCCCACTGCGGGAGTCAGGGCAGCCTCAGCCTCCCCCCCAGACTGGGCATCCCACAATGGCACTGGCTGTATCCCACCCACCTGCCATCTTCATTGGCAGCCCCAGTCCCCCAGGCAGTATCAGACTCCCCTGAGGGCTCTTGTCAAGCCCCAGCACCCCAAACTCCCGTGCAAACCTGCCACTTCAGTGGCACTGAGGTGAAAACACACTGTGTGCTGGGCCAGGAGCCTGGTGACGGAGCTGTCTCATCTTTTGCCCCCGTTTATTTTCCAGCCCTTTTGCTGAGATGGCAGAAACCTCCTGGGGCTGCTGAGCCAGAACTGCACTCCCAGCACCCTGGGCCAGGGCAAAGCTGGCTGCCAGGATCCCACCTGGGATGTACCCCACAGGGGCACCACAGTTTCCCCACACACCCCAGCTCCTCGCTGGAGTGTTGGGCATTGCAGCCCTGGCTGGGGACGAAGCTCCTTCCATCCTCGTCACCCAATGTGGGCCACACAGGGCCCTTCCTGTGACCCAGTTTGTCCCCAGCTTCTCCACCCTCCAAGCCTCATTCCTCTCCCACTGCTTCCCTTCTCCAGCCCCACAGCGGCAATGCAGCCCCGGAGCACCCATGACAAGTCACCCAAGAGCATTGCTTGCACACAGCTCAGAGCCAGGCACTCCTCTTCTCCTTCCAACACAGCAACTCACCCGCAGTGCCCAAACAGAGAAGATGACCCTTCCCTTCCCTTCTATCCTATCCTCCACATTTATCCACATGTAAACATCGATCCCATTTCCCTTCTCTCCTTGCTGGCCTGAACCTCTCCTACCTTTGGAAAGGCCCCAATGTCTCTTCTCAGGCTCTGTCTTCTATAAATCCCCCACAACACCTTCCAGCCCCAGCTCCTCACCGTGTGTTCAGATGGAATTGCTAGCCTCAGACACGTCTGCGAGGACAAAGGTGGCTGCAGAAGATGAGGTAGGGCAGGAAGCAGGCGATGGCACTTGGAGGAAGAGGAAGAGACACCCACAGGCTTCCGGATCCGCTGGCTTTCGCTTTTCCCATGCTGTTTGATTTTTAAATCCTTAAATTCCCATCATGGGATGCCAGTGGCTCTGTCCCCACAGGGTACCAGGGAGCTCAGTGGGGATGCCCTGCCTGCATCGGAGCAGGGGCAGTCCAGTATCTGTACCCAGGCAGGGGCTGTAAGATGCTGGGAGGGCCAAGGGAACTGGGACAGTGCAACACAGCAGAGATTTGGTGTTTAATCACACATGGCAAGGAAGACATGGGGCCTGGTGACTCACGTGGGACGTCAAAATGACTGGCAGCAGCTGCAGGATGGGCAGGGCTTTTCTTACCGCAGATGCCCCATGACCCCCATCCCTGCACAGGAAGGAACTGGGGCTTGGTCCTTCCTGCCCTCGTGGGAAGGAAGGGGAGGGGGGCCACAGCACCCAGCACAGCCCTGGGGTCCTCAACACTCACGGGTGCAACAGGCAGCCCCACCACGGAAACATGCCTTTCGGGAAATACACAGCACTGCTACAGGGTACAGCAGAGCCACCAGAATACCCCTTTGGTCCCCACATGCCATCTCAGGGTGCAGAGCTAGGGCAGAATTTGACCTTCCCCAGGCACATCCATGAGCCTGTCGGAGCGGGAAAGGAATCCCCAGCCAGGACACAGCCCCTGGTGCCCACTGCGATGTGGTCCTGGCTCCTCTTGCCCTCTAAGCAAGTCCCGCAAGCCCAGCCTGAGGCAGCCCATCCCCCCTGTGCTATAGGAAAAATCCCAAATGCTGGTTGGGGTGCTGGAAAAGGGCCCCTCCACCCATCCCCCCCTGTGAGGGCCACAGCACAGCCTCATGACCCAGGCACAACCGGGGCCCTGGCACCCAGAGCTGCCTGCAAACCTCCCTCTGACCCAAAATCTGGTGCTCATACTCTCTGCTCATTGAATTATTATTTTGTCTGGGGAATAGAGAAGTGTCTTAAATGAGGCTAAAAGGCACATTTTTGCTTGTTCTTGGAATAAACTGAAGAAGAGAGAGAAGTCCCAGATGCAAAGGCTGTTTTGAGAGGGGCATGTGGCTGTGCAGGCACAGACCCAGCCCAGGGGGCCAGGGAGGACCAGTCCCCCCAGCTGGGGCCAGAGCAGAGCACTGGGGTGGGACAGGCACAAGGGGACCCACCGCAGGTACTGGCCACCTTCCCCACAGCACCCAGCCCTTGCCCTGCCCCAGCTCAGCTCCCGTCTGACACCTGATCCCCAGCAAGGAGAAGAGCAGGATGAGGCCAGGGTCGTGGGCAAGCCTCCATGTTTCCCCTGGGGAAACCGGAGAGCCAGGCCGGATCCACTTACAGCCCCTTCCATTATTCAGGAACCTGAGCAGGACAAAGCAGAGGTAACCAGGGCCCCATGCAGCAGGGAGAGCATGGGGGCTCCAGCCATCATGATGCCCATCTGGTGCTCTGTTTCCACACCACTGGGGACCCTTCTGCATCATGTCCTACGGGAAAGAGTGATTATCTTACACCAAACTGCAGTTCCTCCTGCCTGGAGCCCTCGCAGGGACCACAAAGACCAGTTGTATCACAGCCTCACTGCATCCCACCCTGGAGAACATGGAAAAGGATTTTTTTTTGGCAGGGAGCCTTCAAGAGAGGCTGGGCTTGGGGGACACAGGGTGGAAACCCCCAATGCTTGGGGCTGAGGTCTGGCCAGGAGTCACTCACGTCACTGAGCAAACCTCAATGTGGAGTTCCCGGGTTCCAGGTAAGGGAGGAAGGGGAAAACCAGGGTGCCCTGCAGCTCTACACGTGGGCAAGCAGAGCCAACCTCTGCAGCATCTCCACTGCCTTACTGGCCTCCCCATGCAGATCACAACAGGTTCCTGATCCCTGCCAGTGCTGCTGATCAGCACAGCTCCGTCACTGGTGTCATTGTTAAGGTTTGCTACTTGCAAAGGAAAAGATTGAAAATTGTTCTTCAACATTTTATACATTTCAGCCTTTAAAAAGGCTGGCATGGGAGAGGCACCTCTTTGGGTTAGGGGCATCTGTCCATATTTAAATATCTTCGAGACCAGCAAGTCTGTTGGTAGCAGGAAACATCCCATCCACCTGCTTCCTGCCATTACAGCCTGTGCCACCTGCTCCAGCTGCACCACAGCTGCCCAGGGAGAGTTACAGGGCTGAAAGCCGTCTGCCATCTGGAGCGGGTGCTGCTGGAGTACCTCTGCCCCAGAACATTAAGCACATCCTGGACATACCGTATGCCTGATCAGAGCATATTTCTGCCTTCACAGATGTCAGAAACTTGCAGCCCTAAAATTTGTTCTGCATTTCTTCACAGAAGCAAGAGCAAGGCACAGGGTGCTGTGCCTGTCCCTACTCAGCTGGAGCAGCTCTCCACAGGTGAGGGCAGAGCTTTAGACAGACTCTAGCCTGCTCTGTCCTCCTACCACACAGCCCTGAGGTGGACAGCAAACATCTCTGCCCCCACCCTCCATATCTTGTGCACAGCACAAGCAGCAATCACCAGGCACATGGTGCTGATGTCATCCTGCAAAACTGGAGTTTTCAGGGTAAGTACGCTCTTCAAAACACCTCCAGGTCTGCAGAAAACAGGCTGATTAAACAGACACCTCCCTAGGAGAGTGTACACCAGCCAAGAAGGAGCCCCTACCCAAGACAACAGATAACTGAGCAAGCTGACGATGTTTCAATTACTAAACTCCAGTGGAGAAACCACCACATCACCGCTGAGGACTTGTCACCAAGTTCAACAGTATTTAACCCCACCACAAAATGAAGACTGTTATTCACCCATTGCCCTGGAGCAGCTTCCTTCTGCACAGGCACTGCCGTGTTGCACAACACTCGGATAGAGTGCTGCAGCTGCAGCCTTCACACACACAACTCCACCGCTAACTTGCTGCCCTTTCTCTGCTGCACCACAAAGGCAACCACAACTCAGACCAGGCTCCACTATCATGGGAACCAGCTTCATTATCACAGCACATTTTTCTTGTCCTGTATCTCTACTTTGACTAACCTAGTTTCAAAACTTACCTGTTGGCATCAACATGTGTTCAGCAGCAGCAAAAAAGGGAACTGCAAGGCAGGAGTTTTCCCAGATACGCTTGTTTGAAGTCAACATCACAGAGCCTCTAACATGGATCCAAGTTTGGGGTAGATGTCCTTGCTGGTGGTTTACAGAATGGCAGAGGAACATGCAAGAAACTCCTCACAGGCAGCTACGCAGCGATCATGGGGTATTTGCATATTAAATTCAAACTGAGATGGCAGAAATCCCTCTCCTTCCAGAAGCTTCACTAAACATTATAGATGGAAAAGTGCTCAGTTACTCCTGCTTGAGACAAGATCTGATGTGAAACAGGATTGAGGAGCTAATCATCAATAGGCAGCAAAACTCAGCCCAGGGTTACTATTTCCACTGTTGCTCACCTGCACTCCAGTACCTCCTCTGCCTGCCACCACTCCTCCATGAGACCCTCGTCTGTCAGCAGCAAGATGTTCACCCGCTGAATTAAATCTCCAACCCAATTCATTCCGGACACGACAGACTGTGCTCTTCACAGGCCCAGCCTCTATGCCCCTCTCCCTTCTCAGTCAACCCAGAGCCACAGAAAGTTTCAGGGCTGCTCCTTCCTCACAGGAATTAATTTGTTTAGTCAAAAGCCAGATCACCAATTGCTTCCGGGCTTTCCAGTATCAACAGGCCAACACTGCTCCACTACTCTTAGAAAAGACAGAGAGTCAAAGTCCTTCATCACTGCTTCAGTTATTTTAGTTTATCCCGTCCATCTCCTCTCCCTCCGTTTATCTTCTCTGAAAAGCACCTTCTGGTTTTAAAGGTTTCGATCTTCTTTTCAAAGAGGAAACATCAGTGTGAGAACCTGGAGTGTCTTTACAGTCAAGAAAGACTTTTGCCTTACAAATCCTCTTTGAAGTAATTTCTTTGTTTGATCATTTATGCTTTTTTCTTTCCCTAAACTCGTATCTGTTGGACTGTGAATTAGCATTATTGTTGATCACTGCTGCTTTGCTTACTGCTTCTCAGACACTGAAATATCACACTGTGTTTGAATGCAATCATGCTGCAATAAAACAAACATGGATTTTGTTTGTAAATTTTTTCTGGTCATATTAAAGCTGGAAAGCAAAACCTCCTGCTTATTCCCGAACAACAGAAAACAGGACCACTTTCATTAGCACCAAAAGGATTTTAAATGAACAGTTCCAGGGACCTCCTTTCAAATCATAAAACGTGAATTTTACATAAAAGTGTGTTTACAAATAGTTTCTGCTTTACACTCAGCTCTGCCCATCACTGACCAGAAGTTATATACATACAGACTAGCTCAGTAGCTTCAATCACTTGCAAGGAGACTGCAGAATTTATTTAAGAAATAAAAATAGGATTTCCTGATTCCTAGAAACTCTCTTCAGCCTGCCAGATATTGTCACCTCCCAGCTCCTGCAGACACAGGAGAGCACTAAGCTTTTGGAGAGAAGGGGTACTGTGGGTGCCACCAATCCAGGAGCCGCACACTATGCACAGGGTCCAGCACAACCTGCACTCCTTGGTCAAGGCGTGGTTTCTTGCCATTGCGAACTGGGGCATCCTGGAACACCAGGCGCACACGATGATGCCTCATGTCTGTGCTCACATTGATGGTGAACTGCAAGAAAAGAGACCAGGAGGTGCTTCAGAAAATCAAAATGATGAATAAACAGAGTTTGTAACAGTACATTTTTAGATATATATTTTTTTTTTAGTTCTTCTAAATTGTACAAGTCTAAGGTATTTCAGGTGCTGGCAGCGTTACACTCTGAATCTACAGCACTGGTTTCAAACCAGTTCTCTCTAGCTGGCAACCCCAAATAATAATGCTAGAAGTGAACCTGAAAGCAAGTGGCTGTCAGAGGAAGTCTGAAACTCACTGCCCTACTCTTAGGTTCAGTCTGGCTTCACTTTTCTCGGGCACAGGCCACTTCTCAAATCCTGACTTATAAGTACAGCCACACGTGCTGCCCCATGCTTTACCACTGTTCTTGCCTAAGCACACCTGCTCTGCTGATGTCTGGAGCTGAGTTTCTGTAAGTTGGCTCAACAGCTGCTCTTCCTCCCAGCAATCAGCAGTCAGGGACCATATACACATTGGAAGAGTTTGCTCATATAGGCTTTTGCTCTCAGAATTTATTGCCATAATGTAAGGAGGTATTTTCTTGAGGGAAGACTTCCTCTTCTCCTGCATCCCTAACTCTTGTACCCTGCCGGAGTACTGACAACTAATCTGCCCCAAGATGCTGCACAACCACAGCTCCTTACAGATTCTCTACATCATCTGTATTTGCTGCACCAAACAGGGAAGAGCTGATGGAAATGCAGAAGCTAAACCAAGGAGATCCTCAGCACTTCCTCTTAACCTTAAGATTCCCAGAATTGGTTTGTTCATGCAGCAGTATGATTTACACAACACCAAAGAGGTGTCCTCTTCATCTCCTTACAGAAACTACACATGCAAAGTTTGCCTGGCAGATTTCTCAAGCACTTACCAAGGTAAATGTCATACCCATGACTATTGGCACGAATATGAAGTTAAAGGTGGTGATCTGCAGTAGACAGCAATCCTGATCTGGATTTGTATGGACTTCTTCATACTGAATTGGTGGCTGAAGACCTTTGCAACACTTGCTCTTAAATCTGGGAGACTTGAAAGAAAAAGAGACTTACTTAGCTAAGCAGGAACCTATGATGAGAGTTTGGCTGCTTCTCACTGATGCTGACTAGCAGGTTCTCACCGTAGTCCCACATGTTTGGACAGAGCACTACGTGAACAACAAATAGCCATCACTTGGGACAGACAATTTGCAGGACCATTTCTTTAGAGGGGAAAGCTGCAGAATTCCCAAGGTTGCCTGAAACTACTTCCTTCTCCTGAGACCAGTTACTGGAGGTTTTCATTGGCAGTGTTGGCTTTCTTCCCTTCTCTGGGAAATCTTTCCAAGGGTAAAACAAGAAGTTTTAGATTTTGGTCTACATTTTGATCACTAAAGTGGTCAAATAGTCTGGTTTTTGGTAGTAATCAGTAGCAATGACCAAAAGATTAGATTATTTGGGGTAACAAATGATTCACATCTTACAGTGGAGAAAGGATACCAAATGAGGAAATAAAAATGTGGGATTCTAAATGTCTTGGTAATACAGACTGAAAACAGAGTGTAGTTTCAGAATGTGCTTTAGTTTATCATAGGAGTCAGAGTTTCCATTTATGGCCTGAACACATAAGAAGTTTCCACCTTCCTTTCTACCACCCAGAAAAATCATTACTGCCTCAAAAAAAGTCACAGCCATTCTCATTCTTCTTTCATACCTGCTTTTTGAACTTGAAGTTGAATTCCCACATTGCTTCTTGTCTGTTCCCTTCAATCTTTTTGCACCAGAAAAGCAGACACTGCGGTGGAAAAAAAAAAAAACCAGAAAACAAACACAAAATTATTAAACCCTTAAAGGCACCACTTTAAGTAAGTTTTAGCAGAGCATAAAGGCTTCCAATTACAAATGCAATTACATAGGAGCAGTTAGGAGCCATTTATTCAAATGAATTATGTTCAGAGAACACACTCAGCAGTTTAGGTCTCCCAGTTTCAAGTTGGCCAACTCATCATGCAACTGGATGATACAACATGTAGCCACTGACGTGCTAAACAGAAAAACCCTGTTGCACACTTTGTCCCTTTAGTAAGGCAGAGATGAGCAGTACAGATTCACCCGTTTCCTCCCACCCACCAAGAACTCCCTTTAAACCGGGCTCCAAACAAGACTAAAGCAAGGAACAGCTGAAAACAGAATAAGGATCAAGAAGGAGAGAATCTAGAGGGAAATGCAAAGACTAATACATGAGCTATGAGGTGACAGATGAGAAAGTTCCTAAGCCACTGTGGTGTCAAAAGAAGGTCTTGACATCACTAGGCACTGACTGTCATACTTCAGAGTATAAAAACACTGCCAGGATAGCACAGTCTGATCAACCTACTGTCCCTTTTTTAAAAGAAAATGAGAAAAGGGCCTCAAACAGCATCAGAGGTAATCAGCACTGCCCTCCCATGCAGACATACACCAGGAGTCCTGCAGTTTAATCCAGTTATCACTGTGTGGTCCACAGGATCCATCCCAGCATGCAGCACTCATTCTAGAGCAGGAGACTCAGCAGAATTCCTGTATTAAACTGAGTAGGAGGGAAACTCCCTGCCTACCAGTGAGTAGAAGCAACTATCCTTCAACAGCTGAGAAAAGAAGCTGGCAAGTCAGTCCAGCCATCACTGAAAGTGTTTCCACACCACAGACACCAGCCCACCACAGCTGGTCTTATCTTTTAACAGTGTCAGCAGGAAAAGAAAGAATAATATGGTTAAAGACAACTCCTCATGATCCATACACAGTCTCTCCCATGCCGAGAAGGCCTGATTGGTTGCAGTGAAGTACACATTTCATTTCATTCCAGAATAGCGTGACCCCAAATGAAACAAAGCCAGAGCTAGCCTCCACCATGGGGGCTCCATAATTAGAGACTACAGGTGATACGAGACCCTTTACTTCAACTCTGAGTCATGTCCATAAACAAGAGTCCTTAAAGGACCTTTATCTCAGCAATCTTCACGAGGTGAACAACTATGCTATGTGGAGTCAAGCTCAGAAACACGTGTCAAGTAATCTCCACCTGGGAGAAGGTAGCCCTCTTTTTTTTCTGATAAAAACATTCTCCAGATCTTTTTTAACTAAGGTAAGCAGCAGATGCTGCTGAGTTTAACTCCACCATCAGTGGCATTTGTAGTTCACCTGCAGAGACAGCCTGGTCTAGCAACTTGTTTGGTCATGGCAAGTAGTGAAGCACAAAATGGTCAGTACCTCCTAAGGGGCAGAGGATGTCGTCCGCGGGTCAGCCGTCCTGCCCTTCAGACGCGCCGTATGGCCTGCTGCTCCACCAAAAATAATGGGGGTGTCTTTAAAGGGCAAACACTTCTGCTGACACCATAACGGCTCCAGTGTCCCACACAAGCTAGGCTAGGGAAAGAAAAAAGGAAATTAAAGAGGAAAAGCTAGATTTGATAACACCCGGGTCTGGGGTCTCCTCTTGCCACATGCAGTTTATGTAGGCATTTGCCATTAGTTTCAAAGACCCGTAAAGGTATAACCAAAGCCCATGAAAGCAAGAACATGGGGAGGCAACGTCAGATCCTCTTCCATACCCACTGTGCTGAAGCATATCTGTGCACAGTAACACAGGTGGAGCTCCGAGTCTTGCAATGCAGTAGTACAGCAAGACCAGACTCAGGATGACTCTTTTATGCTCCAAGGGGTTAGGTCAAACCTCTACTATTCTAACAAAGCCTTGTCACTATTTAATTTCCTTTTTTAAAAGCTGAACAATAAAAGACTGCACTTCAAGAATCTTCCTCAAACCGTTAGTACAGTAGAAGCGCTAGCAGTGGGCACCAAAGCCGTTATGATGTCAACGTGAATGCTTCCAAAATGCTGACCCTGACAGCATCACCTCAGGGTTTCTAGCTTTTACAGCCACGCTACCAGATCCGAGCAGTGGTAAGAAGTTAGACTCAGAAGGACTAAGGTTAAGTTGGAATTTCCTAGAAATGTTTTGCTTTCTATTTTTTAAGAAAGATAATACCCAAACCGGGCATTCAGGAAGAGAATGAAGAGCTCTGGATGCAGAGATAAGACTACACACAGAACTGTGTGCTTTTCTCCTGCTCTGCAGCACCACCTGCTTGTGTTACTGCTGGATGCTCCCTAAGCAGTATGACTTTTTTTTCCAGTATCCACCCAGGGAGAGGAAGAAAGAAAGGTGCGACATCACATACAGATAGATGAGGTTGCTCTATTTTGCATGGAAAAGAAAGTACAACTATTGAACCAAAACCACTTCAGTTTGGCTCCAAAAACCTCATTCAACAGGTTTTTGACTTTGGATTTGGAGGGCAGAGAATTCACATTGTTGCTTAAATTGCTCACAGAGTATCAGCCAGTTGCAAGTTAAAACCAAACAAGAGACACAAAGGCATTTCAGAGTTAATGGTCAACAGCAATTAAGAAGGAATGGATATGCAAGTGCTCCAAGCTGGGATAGCAAAGGGAATTGCCTGCCCACACCAGAGACAAACCCTTTACAGCCCAACACAACTGCAGCCCCAGTCCCAAAGCAGACATTGGCTCTGCACATTTGCCATGCTCACAACCTCACTACCCTCCCTCGCCCAGACACCAAAGACGATGGATGACCTACAGGAATGTAGTATGAAATGACTCCCTTTCAGAGGCTATCAGTGTCACTTCTGATCTCTCCAGATGCCTGCTATGGAGAAAAGATGTATTCTGGCAGACAGTGTCAGAATAAAGCAGAAGATATAAAAGCTGATTCTACTGCAACCTCCTTTCAGCAACAAATTTGCAGCGGAGGAGGGGAGAGCTGCAAATATCCCTAGCAGTTCTGACATTCAGTGAAGCAAATGCCTTTTTGCTGATTACAAAGATGTTGTGGTAGGACTTAGGCAGAAGTTACCCAGAAGAGTAACTAGAATCCTCTGCAGTAGCAACTATACAGATACAAGTAACCAGCATACTTTTAGAAATCATTATTCAGAGTTAGTAATCATCCTACACCCAAGCTTCACTGGCAACCATCTAAACATCAATTTTTCTTCTAGAAAGAGAACAAAAAAACCAGAAAGAGCAACATCTCAGACATATCCAACTTCCTTAGTGATTCCACTTACTCTGGAATTTTTTAAAGTGCTGGGAGTACTGTCTGGAATAGCTGGATTCCTGGAGACTCGAGATGCAAAAGGCTCGTACATGTGGTACAGTGACCGGATGACACACGCACGGAGACAGTGCAGCTTCTCCATGGACTCTGGCCGCAAGCGGAGAGGCAGGTACGCATCCAGACTGTAGTGCCTGAAAAGCCAACAACAAAACCCAACACTTGCTGAAGGGTCAGAATGCCAGAGATGTGCAGAAGAGAGCTATGAAGAGATCAATGTTGAGAGAAAACTGAACATCTGATTGATCAGAGGACCTCTTGTCAACTCTGAGTGCTTCAAGGGTGTTGTACTGCTCTACATGAAAGCAAATGACAGTCTCAAGGACTTTACCTGCATCAGACAGGTTTCCAGCATACACATAAGCATATCATGCTACAAGTCCCCAATAATTCCTTGCACATACTTTGCCCAGAGATACCAGATGGTGTTTTAGCTGCAGGATGTACAATGGTCTGCAGAATCCTGCAGGTTCTCAAGGACTCACTTTAGCTGACCCTGACTGCATGCTTGCACGCAACTGCCTGAGCAGTCTGAATGCCTGCGCTCAAGGGTCATTCTTTGCTCAGATGCCAAAGGAGCCTTCGCTAGGAAACTTCACACTAAAACAGGGGCAAGGATGACCATGGCTGCTATTTGCTCTGTACTCCTGCTGCTTGCGCCTCCTGGGCAACAGATATAGAAATGCAAAGAAAGTGTTCTGTCCTGAAGGAAAGTCCAAGTGACATACACCAGGACAGAAGGCTTTGTTTCAAGTTTTGACCACGTCTTTGCTCTTCTTCTCTTACTTTATTTGTAACTTACTTCTGCCACCGAGACAGCTCCAAAACGCCTTAGCTTCTCTCAGGCCACCCTAATTACAGGAAGGTGGCCATGATCAAAGCTTGACGCAGGGTAAGTTTTCTATCAGTGATGTTTGCCTGTCTTTCAGTAAGGTAACGGTGCTGAACTTACCGTAAGCACTTGGAGTGCTTTACACACAAAGCACACTGTCAGACAGGAGCGTGTAGGCCACAAGAAGCAGAAAAGCACACGATGCTTTGAGATTTTATACAAAGCACACAGGAATATGCCACACAGATCCATTTCCAGATCCAAAGAGGATGCAATATACCACAACCCCTTGCCAAATGAGGCCCGCAACACCATGTCAATACGCAAACATTATAGGACCCTAGCTTATAGGGAATTATTCCCTTATTTACAGCTCTGCAGCCAGCTGATCACTGCTGAAGCCTCCTACAAATAAAACTCTCTAGAGTCTCACCTTCTGTAGAGCCTGGTCCAAAAGGCAGCAGTGCAGGTGACAGTCCAGGCTTTCTTGCAAATCAAAGAAAACCGGACAATGTCTTCAGGGCGAATGTAGGAAGCCAACAACAGCCAGATATCAATTGGGTATTCTTCTCCGCCACCCCCATCAGGATTTTCTAAATGCAATGAAGGTATGTTAGTTTAGTAAATAACCTCTTTTATCAAGTCACATCTAGAGGCGTGTGCTTTACTACCGGTAGCACAGAGTAAGCAGCTGAAATATGTATATACACACAGTCAGCTAAACAAGCCCAAGTTAGTACAACTTCATTATCACTGCTACTGGTTTTCGTCAGCATGCACTTGCCCATCCGCACAACCATTACACTTTCCCTTTGCTGGATACATGCCATCATTTATCCCAGCTGCACTGTTTGCACAAGCATGCAAAGTGAAAGATTCAAAGAATAATTCGGGCTGAAAGGGTTCTCTGGAGGTCTCTAGTCCAAACAGCCCAGCTCGAAGCAGGCTGAATTAGATCATTTTGTTGAGGATCTTGCCCAATCAAGTTCTGACTGTATCCAAGGATGGAAACTCCACAGCCTTTCTGGACCCTGTTTCAATGCTTGACCCTTTCACAGCTGAAACACTTAAGTGGAGAAATAAAAATTGGATGGCAAATACAGAGGCAACTTTATGTAAAGGAGGGCCAGGCTCATACATTTTTATCAAAACTGTTTTGACTGTCGTCAAAAAATGCTTTACACTAGAAGTCCCTGAACATTAAGACATTGCCAAGCTTGCCAAGTCTTTGTTCAAATGGTCGCAATATTTTTGTAGGAGCTCTGCTAAGGTGGGCAAGCAATTCTCTTCTTCAACTGGCTAATCAGCTGCTTTTCTTAAATCTGTAATTTCATTAAAGCTTCCTGGATGGGAAACTTTTAATGCAATTCAGATGAACAGAATGGCCTGTTTTCGCTCTCAAAGGTGTCAGAACTGCTCGACCAGAACTGAAGGTTCAGAAACTCCTTTCATTCCTGCGGTGTTTTTAACACCACATGTTTTTCCACAGACATTGCTCCAACTTTAGGAGAAAAAAAAAAATTAAAAAACATAAATAGCTAAACAATACCAAGCATTAGGAACATGAAGAAAGGAAAAAGAAAACATACAACTTGTACACAGTGCTAACCGAAAACACTGCTATGAGGTTTGTGAACAAGTGGCATAAAGGAGGTGTTTAAGAACTTGAAGGTGCCAGACCTAATCCTGAGACAGCAGGTTAATAACAAAGGGCTGTATTTTATCCTCATGTGATAATTGCTACGGTCATTGCCAAAGAAAGCTCTGGATGTGATCACTTCCCTACATCACTACAGATTTATGGCAGGCATAGCCACAATGGGCTGTAACATCCACTTTGCTGTTTCAGCTCTGACTCAAGAAGCCATCAAACTACACAACTGCTGAAAGGCAGAGTGCAGTCAGAAGCATCATTGGTCTATTACATTTTTTCTTCCCTAAACATGTAGCAGAAATAAGTAAGACAAGGTTGTCGTAGAACAGAATACTGACTTTCCAGACTCATAACTCCTGTAACTCTAGCCACTCAGATATTCTTATTTACCCTGGATTCTGAAAGATGTCTTAATAAAAGAGATTAAACTCCTATCCCAGAGGAGTACTGTGCACCTACAGTCCATGGTGGATGTTGATGCATTACATAACTTAGTATCAACATTAATAAAGTTAAGTTTTTCTTAAGCTCAAGAAACCAAGCTAAAATTTGTTTCTCAACTTGAAAGCAATCTGTTAATAGAAACTCCTGCAGGATTCCACAGTGCAGCAGAACAGTTTGCTCCTTACACTGCATTGCGACTTGCTTTCTATAGAGTTGCACAAAGTGTAAATGCTGAAGGATACATTTCCCTGGAATTAACTCACTATGATGTCACCAGGGCCAAATTCACTTGCCTGCTGGAAGAAGAGCCCTCTAAACTCATTTGTAACAAACCACAGCCTTGGAAACATCCGGAAGACAGAGCTTGGATTTTGCCAACAAATGCATCACGGACAGCAGCGTTGTTTTTTCTCCAAAGCAAACCCTGCTTTCACCAAGATGAAGTAACATGTCCAGTGGCAAAGTTTCACAACTCTTTCTAAGAGCAGCATTCATTTACCAAGATTGAGAAAAGTTTACTGAAAGCAACGAGCACTCAGGCTTTGATTTCATGCCCAAGGCTCTGCCTTTGTGAAAAGACACCACTTCTGACCAAGTCCCAGCAGATTTAAAAGTGATTTAACCCTTGGCATTTCTTTGTGCACATACAAGTTGCAGAATGCCCCGCAGAGCCCCGTGACTAGCCTGTAAATAAGCAAGCACTAACATCACACACAGAAAAGATGCAGAAGCAGCCCACACAGAGCCCCCCAGGAGAGGCTGGCGACCATACCTTTGTGCCTTTTGCTCTTCTTTTTTCTAGACGCAGCTCGCCCATTGATGCTTTCCTTTGTATCCATTTCATCGCTGCTGTCGCAAGACTCTCCTGACACAGAGAGAACTTCCTCAGCAGGAACACACGAAGCTTCCAAACCACAGAGGGATTTTACTAGAATGACAAGCAACGACACAGTAACTATACTAGCAGAGAGAAAAAGGTGATCCAAGTTCAGGAGATACTTCAGTGGAACCACTGCCACAGCCACTGCTAGGAATGCTAACTGCATTAAAGCTTTCTGGTGAGTGACACAAGCAAGTAAATCCTGGGCCCGAGGATTACCTTGTCAGAGAAAGATTAGCAGGGGTGAGTGAATTGGAAACATAATTATTTAGCTTCGTGTTTTAAAGAATGAACAATGAGGACGATTACCAGCACATTATGCAGATGATCCCATCGGTTTAGCTGAAGCTGTTTACAGTTCTGAATAAAACAACAGGTTCTTTTTCTACAGTGCTAACTGGTTCTCCTGCATACCAGAGCTTCCTAGCATGACCACCGTCCAGCCTGTATAGAGCCAGCACCTACTCTGTAATTGTTGTATGAACAGAGAAGATACGCTCCCTTCTCCACAGGATAAAGAGATCCTGTGGCCAATGACACACAATCCATCAGCGATATAACTCAGTGCCAAGCATACAGGAGCTCCACTTATCCTAGAATTTAGTGAAGGGAAAGACTCTGGCCTGATGAAGAAAACAGCAAGTCGAATCAGTTGGGTTTTTTTTTTGTTCCTCCCTCTGGTGAGATGTTTAGACCCATCCCTGTTATGAAATATTATTTTTAAAACTTGATCTGTCAACTGAGGGCTCACTGGGGCAGAAAAATCCACATGAAGCAATAATGACAGTCTTGAAAAAGAAAGGTGTGGTCCTACGTTACAGCTGCATGAGGCACTGTCATAGAGAGACCAGCATTGTAACAGCATTACCAATGCTTTGCCAATAGTCTGGAAAATTCATCCAAGAAAGTTGAATTTCAACCTAATGCACTGGGTGAAAAAAAGGACTTCTACCAAGAGGCACCTAACCATGCCAGAGGAGGCTTGCACTGCTTGAGCTTTTCTAACCTAGCACAAACTGCAGCCCAGGAAGGTTTTATACATCATAGTTACAGTCATCAGAGCCACTGGAGAGCAAGACGTGCTATTTGAATTAAAGGGACAGAGTAGCAAGAAAGAAAAAAAAAAAAATCAGGAACTGACCATAAATAAATTCAGGTGAGAGATGTTCTCATTTCTAACCACAGAACAAGGTTCTGAAACAGTAAAACAGCAGATGGAAGGAGAGTCTTAAGATAGAGCTTGACTATACCCACTGACTAGAGATACTTTCAGTGCTTTCCTAAACCAGTTCTACCTCACTTTGCACAGTTTACTCCGTAAACTGTATGCATTCATGACAGTGATATCCCTCACTGTCAAATTGTACTGCCCTCTCTACATGACCTTTTACAGTCAAAAATAAAGAGAAGTAGATGGCAACACAAATAGCAGTAAGTTATGACATCAAATACAGCCAAGCAAGAGAGGACAACTGACAGAGACTCAGAGAGGGGTTTAGAAAAAGAAACCCTCACACTCTGCAAAGGAAAGATCAACATCTGAGTTGACAACACAAGTCTATTCACACACTGAATCACACTGCATTGCAATCTTGCAGAGAGGCACCCTCTCGTCATCTCACAGCCATAATCTCCACCCCATCCCTGGGGGTTAGGGATGGGGAGGAAAAAAGCTCAGGAAAATTCCACCTGGCCTTTGCTCCCCTCTCTGTGAAGCTCCCTGCTCGCTGGCAGTCGCAGCGATGTTTACTTGGAGCCAAGAGACAGGAGGTGAGCAAGGCCAAAGGCTAAAGCTCCCTGGGCAGAGGCTGCCGTCTCCTCCTGGCTGCCTGCTGTCCCCATGCCATGGCAAGCTGCACCAGATGAGGCCATAGCATGCGTCATGACTACACCAGATAAGGCTGTAGCACAGCCCTGGGGCTGGGGAGGAGAGATCCCGAGGATCCCAAGGACCCCGGTGTAAGGAAGGGAAAGCCCCAGTGACTCAGCCCTGCAAAGACCTGAGAAAAGGGTGAGCAGGGAACTGCTGTGACCTAGAGTCATCTAGATAGCGTGGAGGTGAGCCAGAAACAGAGCAGGATTTTAGGAGAGGGGTTAAGCTGGCCAAAGCAGGTGATGCTGGATGTGAGGACTCAGGGTGGGGCAGGAAGGAAGAAAAGACAACAGAGTTTGCCAGGTATGATGCTGAAGTGCAATACTTTGAGGCAGTGCCTCAGAAAGAATACACAAGGGTCAACAGGAGCAGGAATGGGAAGGGAGAGGCCGCCAGCCTATTAGAAAGGAGGCAACAAGAGGGAGGTGCCCTGATCTTAAAAGCTTGTGAAGTAGGGCTGAAAAGGATATTCACCAGCACCACTGCCCTGTACAGTTACCCCATGACAGGCATTCACGCAAAGAACATATTTTCGTTAAATGGGTAAGATTTCAGCAACATAACAAGAGTTTTCCTATACAAAGGGTTCAGCTATCACTGTCAATGTAATAACATTCATCTCCAACAAGTGCAACCAGCTACATTTAAGAGTCGATGCCTAAACATTAACATTTCTGAAGCAAACAGGGCGTGTTAGTTCAGACTGCTCCAAGCAGCTAAAAACCAAGGAGGAAGTAGATAACAAAATATTTTAGTACCTTTCCTGGAAACTGCTTGTTTATACAGTTCACCAGGGGAACAGCAACACCCTCAGAAGACCTCCTTGCAGCTTGCAGCACAGGGTGGGAACATGTTTGCCAGAACTATCATAACCTTATTCCCACTGCAAAGAATTTTATCTGCTAATAAAATTGTCTACAGTTTTATATGAGGTAATAAAGACTCCTATCATGTTATTTTCTGCTTCAAGCAGGAGATAACACCCAACGATTAGTAGGAAAGGCCTTCCATTTCAGGCACTAACAAAGACTCAGCAATTCTTACTGGACTTCCAACAGGCTTTCTGCAAAACCTCTTGTCTAAGATCCTAAACACCTGATTCTGCAGAGGAACACAGACTCATTTTCAGGCACTAAATGAGACAGATTTTCTCAGGCCACGGAAGGGGAGTTTCCCACGTCATGCAGGGGCCAGCAAAATGGGGAGGCAGCCTGGGGAAGGCAGGGTCCCCAGTATAGACTCACCTTCCTGCTGAACTGCATTGGCCACAGCTTTTTTCACCCGTCCAGATTTCACGACAGCTGGGTCTGAGTTAGCATAATCTGCCACCGTCACTGTAGGAGAGTCGGGAAACAGGGTGTCAGCAGGATTATGGATTATAGGGGAGGGGATAGAAGGTCTAAGAGCCACGATCCCTCAAGGGGACGCTCCTGATAGGAACAGAGGCTTGAGCAGGAGGTGCACAAGCAGAAGGAGCCCCGGCAGAGAGGTGCAGGCCAGGAGCCCCCAGCAGGCCTCTACCCCAGCCCACCAGTCTACCAGGCCCAGGGGATGTACCCCCTGCCCAGCCCAGCCCAGGTCTCTCTCTGCCTCCACCTCCACCAACGCCAAAGCCCGCACCCCCCCCTCACACACAGCCTAACTCAAGCCCGGCTGATCCTCTAGGCCCAGGCTCCTCCTTCACAGACCAAGACGGCTCATTCCCAGCCCAGGCCAGATCCCGCCACCTCCAGCCGGAGGCAGCTCGCTCTCCCGCTCCACAAGCCCGAGTGGGCCCGGCTCACCTCCCGGCTGAGACTGGACCCCTCCTCACCTCCCCTCACCCAGGCCAAGCCCAGGCCCCTCGGGCGAGGCCACTTTGTCCCTCAGGCCCCAACCCAGGCCCAGCCCCTCCTCTCCGGCCAGAGCAGGCCGTCTTCCCCCGCTAGGACCGGGCCCCGCTCCCCTCGGTCCCCCCCCTCCCCG